TCCCTCCCGTTAATGGCTATACCATCCCTAGGTGGTCCCACCCTGGGATGCTCATGATACCACATTTTATGTCTTCTTTTCAATGCCCTTTCAAGATTGCCACACTCATGCACAAGTGCTGTTGGGTCTCTCTGGTTATGCTCAAGTTTAGTTGAAGTTAATGGGTTCCAAACACACCTCCTCTTCAGCTTGATACCACACCTCCAGTGAGCTCTGCCTTCAGCGAAGGTCCCCATGGTTGTCAACTGGTTCTGTCAGCAAAAGCCTAGTGCTGTCCTTGGCACTACATATACTCTCCCCTCCCCTCTCATATTCACTCTGTCACCATGTTGGTTTGCCCTGCTTCCAAACCCATACCTGTCTTAACCTCTGCAGTTGCTCCCTTCCCTGCTTTCCTGTCCTGTGGTTCCACTCAGCCCTTCCCTTTGAAGCCCTTCCCTAATCTCACCTATGTCAGTCAGGGTTTATTCTACAGGACCGTCCCTGAGAGTCGACCTGATCTCAGGGCCAGGCTCAAGTAAGGACATAGTAGCCTGGGCAAATGAATCCTGAAAAAGAGGAATCTGTCCCAGTCTTGTAGCCAGCAGGCTCAGCTTCCCTGTCCTCTCAGGTGCACAGCTGTGGCCACGTTAGTATGCGAGTCCATGCTTGAACCACAGACCTGAGGGTGTCACCATCTCCTGCTCTCTTCAATGAAGCTCTCCTTTACTATTCATAAAAGCCATGGCTCTGAGCCCTTCATTCTTTTTTTTCTGTGCTGATCCCATAAAGCCTTTGCACCCTTGCAGAGAACATGTATATATAGGGAGGCCGCACCAATCCTGTGATAGTGGCAAAGCAGTAAATCTACCATTGTAGAAGAGTGTTCCTGCCAGTATGCTGAGTACTTTAGGAGTTTGGACTTTAGATAGTAATTTCCATTCTTCATCCCAATCTTAGAGAGAGAGGAAAAAGGAAACGACATTTCAGAAGGCTAGTGATTGTGCTGCATAGTTGATATGAAGGCAGGTGGAGGTTTACAAGGGGTGGTGTTTGGTGGGGACCGTTGACTGGCTACATGCCCAGGAGCAGAGCTCTAGGAAGGGCAAGAGCAGCCGGGGGGTATCTAGCAATTCTATTGCTTTTGTGTCCAGATGGGTTTGGGACTGTCTGCCACCCAGCACCTATCTTCTGTGCAGTAACTAAATACAACTCTAAGGGCCTCATAGGTGTGTAAAGCGTAGCTCAGTTCAAGGAGACTGCTGACTCTTGCTCTTCAGTAGGCTGGCGTTTTCACATTCACTGTACAGAAGCACAGTACTGACCAGGTTTCACATGCCCACAACATGTTGGGGCAGCACCCCAACCTACAAGCCATACACTGATGTTGAGTTGCTTTTTTCCAAAGCACAAAAACTTAAACTTTTTTCCTCAGTTACCGAAAAAACCCAGAGTTGATATTTTATCAGGGCCTCATGGGCAGGTAAAGTGATCACACATTGTAGAGACCAGCAGTCTGTCACCTACCTACATGTGACCCCTTACTCAGAAAATTACAAGGAGCTTATCCCTGACCTCATGCTGGTGGGAATAGTACTTGTAGGCCATTCTGTGTGGTCTAGGCAGGGAACAGAAGCATGAGGGAATAATGAGATGCTAGTACTCGTGGCCCCCTGCAAAGGCACAGTCTAGACCCCAGGGTCTTCTGCCCATCCCTGCGCTCCCTGAGCCGCCCAGAGCCTGCTGAGGTTGAAGTTTAGGAAGAAGTAGTAGCTGCTGTATGGCAGCATCTGGACGGTGGCGTGCGGGGGTTTTCACTGGATAAGGAAGGGAAAGCCCTCTCCTCTGGTGACACAGGATGATTTTTTTTTTATACTTTTCTGTGCATTTATTCTTCAAGATACTTAGTAATCCTGCCATTCTATGATAGTTCAATAATGAAGAGCTCCATAGAGGGAGACTGGGGTCAAGTAACTCTCATCTTCCTCTTTGCCTTTGAGTGGAGTCTGGAGGCACAAGGGGGTGTTTATCATTCATTTGGACTTATTATTTAATGGCCTCAGAGTTCTTGGCTCCCCTAACCCCTAACCAGTGTTCCAGGTGGGACCCTCTTTAGATTTGATCTCTATTTTGGTCTCAAATGTCATGTACAACCATTATTGCCCCTTGCTTCAAGCCCCAGGAGATGTGCTGTCCTTCTGTTTCAGGGGACTGCACCGGTCCTGAATGTGTGTCCTCTTCCTGGAGGACTCTGGTGGGTTCAGGAGCAGTAGCTCCTTCCCTGCTGAGGCTGGGTCTATCTGGAGGAAGTAAGGCGGAGAAGGCCCAGGTCCCACAGCCAGGCAATCAGGACACAGGAGCCTCTGCTGTGAGGCACGGTGAGGTCAGGCACGTCCACATGCCTGCCAGAGCTGCTTTTCTTTCAGGGAGCAGAAGGGGCAGCTGCGGCAGGAAGAGGAGGTTTATCTTTCTCCAGAGTGAATGTGACCTCTAGTGAGGCGCTGTCATTGACCTCGCACAGAGCTCCCCATTTATTAAAAAGCTTCCTGCCCTGCTCTGTTTAAAAAGGCTAACATCCTTGGCTCTTTTATCAGCTACTTAGTCATAAGGACCATTTGGAATCCTGGGAGGCATGTGGAGGGCCCTAGGGCTTCAACTGGACTTCTTTTATTTTAGTATATTTAATGGGCTTTTTCCCTCTACACTGTGAACGTGGGACTCTGTGTCACTGCGCCCTGCAGAGAGTGTAGCTAGCCAGTGCTGGCCCATTCTTCATTGTTTTCGCATACTTCATTCCTGCTTCTTTTCCACACCCAGGTCTAGATTTCAGAAATGTGGTGCTTCCTACAGAGGAAACCTTCCCTGACACCTGTGTGAAAGCAGAACAACCCTGTTGCACTAGTTAGGCCTGATTTTGGTAAAACCCCAAACTGTGAGCGGCTGGGGATATGTCTGATCCTTTCTGAGCTAAAGCTCCTGTAAGACTGCTGTCAGGTGGACTGGGGTTGTAGCTCAGAGATAGAGCACTGGCCTAGCATGTATGAGGTCCCAGGGTAATTGTGACAATTAAATATACTGCTCACAGGGCATATGGACCAACGGTAAACTGTCCCTGTATTCCCTGAAGCCTGCAGAGCATCTTGGATGGCAGGTCACTTCTCTTTGTTCTAGTTTTCTCCTAGATGAATGCATCTGCTTATTTTTTCTGACTGCTTTCTGAAATTCAAATGAGCTAAAAGAAGCACTCTGTGTGGGTGTGGTGTGGTTGCTGTGGCCTGTGGTGCTCCTCAAACAGCAGGAACTGTCCAGCATCATTTGTTTTGAGGCACCTTCGTGACACCATTAGCATCCCTCTGAGTTGTGACTATTAGGGGGAGAGCAGAAATCCTTGTGGAAGGCAGCCAGAAAGGCTAATGGCCGTGGCACTGAGGCAGGCAGGATTCTGACCTGGCACTGGTTTGGAGGAGGGCTGGTATCAGATACCAAAAAACACGGGGTCATAACTAAGTCATACACAGCATGGCAGCCACCACCACCTTCCTTCCATAATGCTTGGCAGGTTTTTCTTCTCTTTTGTGCCTTAACTGTTCCTTTTACTCACAGCAGCAGCAGATCCAGGTCAGTGAGGGAAAATGACCTGTGAAGTAATTGTTCTCAGGGCTGCTGCCCTTCAGAAGGCTCTGTACTTGGAATAGATGCAAAGGGCAGCTTTCTGCACACATGCAGTCGGGGCTGAGAAAATATGCGTGGATGACGGAGCTAATGTGAAGTCAGCCTTGTCCTCCTCTGTGGAGAGACCACCCAGAGCTAGGAGGCTACGCAAAGCCCATCTCCCCAGAATAACTGGCCTGGCCTGTCCCTCACCAGTTACATAGACACATCTGTACAACTCTGAGCCTCAGTCCCTGTTATCAGTCCCCCACCAGCTCCTTTTCTCTGAGCAATGGATCCCCGACTTGGTACTAAGAGCTATCAGTTTGAGCAGAGCCTGGTAGTACATGCCTATCATCCCAACACTATGGGAGGCTGAGGTGAGAAAATCACAAGTTGTAGCCTAGAGTAGGCAACTTAGCAAGACCCTGTCTCAAGATTTGAAAAAGGGGTGGGGATATAGTTTAGTGTAAAGGCCCTGAGTTCAAGTCCCTTACCTCAAAAAAAGGAAAGTTTTTAAAATATTGGGGAAACTGTTCTTATTCAGTTTGTAACATTTATATATAAAATGTTGGAATTATCAAAACTTAAATGCAGTTTCATCATCTTACAAATGAGGGTAAAGCTCACATGCTGGTTGAGTGGCCATATAGTAAAATACAACATTCTGAGGATATTCTTTACATACAGATATTTTTCATTTAGACATGGAATAAGGGACCCCTTAAAGTTATGGTAACTCTCAGAGTTGGCATGGGGATTACACAGCCCAGTGTTAAAATTATTTTAACCATGAGTGGGTGGTGGTAGAAACTGTGGTGACTGTCTGAGGGTCATGTTGCTGAGACCTGGCCAGGCTCTCCTTTGCTTTTTGTCTTTGGTACACATCAGTGTATTAAGTGGAATAGTGTCCTTATGTGCTCATGCTCTGAGATGCATACTAATTTCACAGATCTTTTAAGTACTTCAGCACACAATGAGGAATGAGTTACATTTTAGTAAGTGGTGCTTTAAGCTTAATTGGTTATCACCCACATCTGCAGGCTGTACTGTCACCATAGCCAACCATACGAGAGGCCAACCTCAGCAGCTGCAGGCTTCTAGGTGTATAGAACAGTTTATAATCCATGTCACAAGCTCAGGAGTAACATGCGGAGGTTTGCAGGTAGTGGTAAGCTGAGGGCACTTGATAACAGGTCCAGACATGGATACCACGTGGACCTGGGGACATAGCCTTGGAAGGCTATGTTTTGGTCCATCCAGGGCTCATCCTGCCCAGGACTTGGTTTTGTTTGTGGGGCCTCTTTGTTTTCCTTAACATCTCTACAGAGGATCATACTCTTTACCTGTTTGTCTTCTTTCCCTCTCAGAATATTGACATCACAAACTTCAGCAGCAGCTGGAACGATGGACTGGCCTTCTGTGCACTCCTGCATACATATCTTCCAGCACACATTCCATATCAAGAACTGAATAGCCAAGATAAGGTAAGGCAGGCCACAGGATACCGTTCCTGCTGTCCTCTCAGAGCAAGAGCCTGCGAACCAAGGGCAGTGCCCTCCATCAGTAGGTCACACATCACAGTGTGGGCTTAGGACATGCCCCTCTGGCTCAGCCTCATTCTGAGTTTGGTCACTTGAGCTCAGCCAACTGGTCCCTGACCCACCATGTGAGGAATATATGATTGGTTCAGATTTGTTCACATGACAACATTCACAGGGGGGAGTAGTCTTTTCTGAAAGATAACATTTAGGCCAAAGGCTTCAAAAATGGACAGCGAAGGGCTGTTTATACCATGAATGGTCAGATCAGTATCACTCCAGAAAGGCCAGCTTCCTGTCACCTCAGGGCCAAGAGTGTCACTCACAGCCCACTAAGCATTGTGGGTCTCAGAACCTAGGAGAAACACCAGCACTGTGCAGTCACAACCCATGTTTTGGGGCGTCCCATCCATGAAGCTCTTCAGGGTCAGAGAACAGGCCCAGGACCTCTCCCCTGGTCCCCTGTCTTTCACCAAGGCAGCCCTTGAAAATCCCCACAAGAAGAAAACTGTTTTGGCAGATGGGTATTTCTGGCTTTTTTGAGTGTGTACCCAGGTGACTCGGGGTCCACAGGTTGGAAGTGAGCTTCTGAGTGAGGAGAGCAGAAGCGTACAGCTTTGCAGCTGGCTGGAGAAGAGCCGTTGTGACAGGACCACTGTGGGCACCCACAGGTGCTTGCTACAGACTGAGCGTCCTGTCCCAAACAGAATTGAACAGCCACCCTCTGTGACCTTTCTCCTTGCGCTGCACTTGCACTACAGTGTCATGATCTGTCTTACAGAAAAGGAACTTCACACTGGCCTTCCAGGCAGCTGAAAGTGTCGGCATCAAATCCACACTGGTGAGTCCCTGGCGCCCACAGAAAAGTCACTGGCCGAGCACTCGATCGCTGGGTGGAATAGCTGCCTCGTGGCAGGGAGGCTGTGGCACTGGAGGGTGGGGAAGGTCCCATCCCAAGTGGGTGCTGAAGTGGATCTCACCCACTACCTGTAGTGCGTGCCTCACACGAAACATCCTCAGGAAGCACCCATATGTGTGGGCAGCTAGTGACCACAGGCCCTGGCAGACCTCACACAGGCCTGTTCCTTATGGCTGTCTCTTCCTTAACAGAACTTTTGGGTTCGAGGGAGGAAAAAAAACTTGTGTTTATAAATGTCACTGTCAGAGCACCTTGCACAGGTCTATGTTCCTTTTGTCAGTCTAGAGGGAGAGGATAAAGTGCATCTTGAGTCAAGGAGAAAGTTTTATAGGCTGAAGAGTGTTGTCTGCACTTACAAGGGCATTGAGAATCTCCTGCCTGAATCATCTGAGGAGCTAGGTGCAGAAAATTGCATGGTCTTAGTTCTTAGGTTCTTGTGCAGGTTTCTGCCCACTCCATGCCAAAGCTTATAACAAACATACTTTTTTATTTTCTTTCTTTTTTTTTTTAAACAGACATACTTTTCTCAGGAGCTCTTACTGTCATCACCAAACCTGAGTTTCTGGGAGAAAATACTGTGTCCAAGTGCAAAGTGTTACTTCCATACCTAGATATTTTTGTACTCCATAAACTGAATACCATAGCAACATACAAACCACACACCAATCTCATTGAGCTGCTCAGGGCTTTTCACAGGACCCCAGATCTATCTGCAGTCCTTCAGAGACACCTTCCCACCTGTGGCTACCCATCACCACAATTTATAACAACTGCATGTGCTAAAGAAGTATTTAAACCATAAGTATGTGTTTTAAATTCATAGAACTATCCTTGCTTAAAGTGGCTTGTGTTCAGATATAGAGAGAAATAACTAATTCAAATATATTCCTATTAATAGTTTACATGTGGGGGCTGAGGATTTAGATTTAGCTCAGCGGCATAAGTGCCTGCCTTGCAAGCAGTCAGTCGTGAGTTCGATCCCCGGTACCGATAAAAAGGAAAAAGACAAAAAAAAAAAAAAAAAATAGTTTACATGTAAGTTTCTGTATATAAAATGTAGGCAATTTCTGCATCCTAACCAACATTATGATCAAGATTGTATAGTGAGTGAACAGCCTTCTGCTTTCTGTACTGAATAAGACTGATTGGCCCTCTCCATTTTGTGGCACATTTGAGATTCCTTGCCCATCCTTGCTCCTCAACAGTAGCAGGCATGAGTTACAGGCTTGGAGGTACCTAGGTAGGATCTGATCAGTCCATGGTTTCCCACATTCATCTTCCTGCCCACTCAATTCATCTCTCCCAGGTCTCTGGTATCTTTCAGTTTAAGAACAATACAGGTATTGTGGTATGTGCCTGTAATCCCAACACTGGGAGACTGAAGCAGGACAATTGAAAGTTTGTACGCAACCTGGGCAAAACCTAAAATAAGACGAAGTAGGGATGTGAAGGACCTGGATTCAATCCCCAGTATAAAAATTTAAAAAGTCAGTATAGTATCTTTGATAATATTTGATTTGTCTGGTGGTAAAGGTAATCAGTATTGATGTGATGCCTCCCTAAGCCAGTGCCTGGTGTTAAGAAGAGCTCTAGAATGTCCATAGATAGTGATCTGGGAATGAAGGCACATGGTGGGGGGTCACCAAGACCAGATGAAATCCTACCCTTGACGGGCTGTGTCAGTGACCCCTGCATGTGGCTTAACAAAAGTAGGCATAATTGGGGATAATGCTGATGTCTCCAGAGGAAGCACTTTTGAGGAGACATTCTGTGCCAGGCCTGTGAAATATATAGTCAGGTTAGACAATAAACTCTTCAGTGTTGCTAATGAAACTCATTGGGATGGGCCAGGAGGTGACCTGTGATCCTAACTAAATCTCTTCTTGTCTGTCAGGACATTAATGAGATGGTACGCACCGAACGGCCAGATTGGCAAAATGTGATGCTGTACGTGACAGCAATCTACAAGTACTTTGAAACTTGAGTACACCAGGAGGAGCTGCCGCTGACTGGGGACCTCGGCAGTAACCAAGCAACACCAACACCCTTAGCTCTGCACCCCTAAAGCTTTCGTCAACTCTGGGCTGTCATGCAGCGTGTGAGCCTCAGCCTGGGACCTCTGCATTAGAAGAATTCAGGCCTGTGGCCTGTGGCATACACCAGAGCTCCTCCACATGGCCTGTCCACCTAGTGCATGTGGGCATAGCACACAGCATGCAGGCAGGCTTCCTTCTGAAGACAGATCGAACTCCACTAGTGCCTAGGATGTAAAAACAAAAGGCTCATACCCAGCTAAACTTGGGGAGGATTCAGTTATAGGAGATTCTTAGAGGTTGGTAAAACTTCAGCTACAGCACTTCTTGACTGTCACCCACGAGTCCCTTGCTGGTGAGAACCAGGGGAAGTAGGTGCTTGGCAAGTGGCCTGCTCCCTGGTGCTGGAGCAGAACCAGCCCTGCCCTTTTACATGGGTCTGTTTTCCAGGAATGTATCACCACTGAATTGGGAACGCCATCTCTTATGGGTGACAGAGCTGCTCTGGCCAGCACTACGTAGGAGTTTTCAACTAGAGTTAAGAAAGTAGGTAGAAGCACAGTGCAGGTGGTCCTGTCTCACAGCCTGCAGCTGGCTAAGTCCACACTACTACTGCTGGGCTCCTGTTGTCAGGGAGCAGGCAAGATCCTTGGCTAGTACTCGGCCACTTGCCTACAGCCCCAGCCCTAGCATCAGGCTTCTGAGAAGAGGACTGATCAAAAGGAGTTTCAGTTAAAATTTTTTTATTTTTTATGAGCAATATTTTGTGGGAAGTAGCTCCTATTCTGTTAGTACCAAAGTTAAATTGTTTCCATCTGGGCGTGGTAGCACATATCTGTGATCCCAGAACTCGGGAGGCTGAGGTAGGAAGATTGCCATGAGGTGGAGGCCAGCCTGGATTATATAGTGAGACCAGTGTTTAAAAACAAAAACAAAAGAACAACAAAAAGCCCCACAAAATTAAACTGTTTCAGTGAGCATAGAAATAAAATACAAATCTGAATATAATACAGCAACAGCAGGGAGCAAAGTAGCAAGTAGCTGAGAAAAAGGACTTGCTTAGTGAAGCCACAGTGTGTGATTTAAAGCCCCTGCAAAGTCGCTGAGATGTACTTCTTTTGGGCAGGAATGTAAGAAAGTGCCTTACCTCCCCTTGCCAGGGCAGCCTGGGCCGCCTCACCTGGGCAGGTGTCAACAGGGATTCAGAGCCTGGCCCACCCTCCCCAGGAGCTGGATCTGGGCTGTCTGAGCCAAAGCCTTACTCAGAGGTGGTCTGCTGATGGCTTTCAAGCTGGGACTCAAAGCCCTATTTGGGAGCAGGCAGCCTACATCTCGTGTGTGCGTAACACAGTAGTTGTTGGTTTGAACAGTGTCAAAACCTGTGCCTTCCAGATGATAACTGGTTGGCACCTAAAAGGCACCGGGAGGAAGACTGGCCACCAATGGAAGCCCATTTGCAGCCCCACTGACCAGATGCAAGGAGCAGGCTCCCAAGAGGCCTACTCAGTCCAATTATGGGCTAAGGGTCAGCATTCAAGCATGATGATCTGTATTAGAAGTCTGACATGTGTGGAGCCTAGAAAAGAAAGTGGCTGTTAGGAATTGGGCTCTACGTGTCTGTGGCCTGCAGTGTGCCATCACCAGGTAGCTGGGGCTGCCCATCCGCCCTACCTGAATGTCCTCACCTGGTAGCACAGGCTGCTGCCCCTGTCTAAGACCTTTGGTGTGAAATGCCGATTTTCATCTAAAAGAGAAACCAAGTGGTCAGTGTCAACCTCAGAGCACACCAGAAGACACCCCAGATGCCAGCTTCCACAGATACCCAGCCTGGTCCTCCCTGGCCATGTTCTGTTCTTGCTCCTGTTGCTCTGCTGACAGCTGTCAGCATGAGTGACTACTTGTGTGCAAATCGTCTTCTCCAGTGTTTCTCCACTTAATTTCCAAGTCCTGCCCTACTCTCATTCACCTTCTAGAAGACCTGTCTACTGTCTGCATCCAGAGTGTCTGTTCATGTTTTTGATTATTTATTATGTCATGAGGGGCCTGTTAGATGACTAAGAAGACTTTTTGGGAGCCTGCAATCAACAGTTTCATCCCTTGCTGTCCACACGAGACCAGCTGTAGCAGCTCATGCTGGGATGAGGAATTCAGAATCTTCTGAGGGCGGTGGTCACTGATAGTTTGCATCACTTGGATGGAAAGTCTCGTCTGGACACTGAGGGCCCAGCATCAAGCTTGGGAGTGGCGGCAGATACATTGGTGGGCTTGGGAAGGGTCGTCCTGGCTCCCACCTGTCTGGAGGCTTGACTCAGGTCCCCCATCTCCAGTGAGGGTCAGACTGTCCAGGTTTGCACAAGGGTCTGCTGGTGTCAGGACTCCAGAGCATTACTTTTTGCCTTTTCTAATAGGACCCTTACAGCACTGTCAGCTGTAAGGGTACAACTGTAATGGTCTTGTGTGTTTAAGTGGGTACCTGCCTTGTAGCCTCCAGGAAGTCATTTTGCCCCTTTAAGCACAAGCTTTACTGCAGAAGGGCCAGTTACCTTTCTATTTCTATCATAGGCTTCTGCTGACTGACTGTCCTAGTAAATATTCTTGAATGTATTAAATTGTTAAAACACATCTGGCTTGGACTTTCCTACCTTGCCCTTCCTCCTCACTGTCCCTCGGACACGTCACATGAACCCATACTGCACATGAATACAGACTGGAACCCTGCCCACCTAAGAAGGCCCTCTCTTGGTCCATCCTTTCAGCCCCCTTGCCATGCACATGGAGCACCCAGCCTCAAGTGGGATACCTGGTGTGCCTGCTGCAGCCCCTGGCTTACAGCCTCAGGCAGGTGTCTGGACTGTAAAACCACACCATGGGGTGGGGTGGGTGAGCCTAAAGCATCCAGCCTGCTGTGGGACCACTTAGCCTGTGATGGGGTGCTAACACTCCAGAAACACCAGCAGAGCTGGCTGGTGAGAGTGGAAGCCTCAAGCATAGCCCAGACACACACCATCTGGCATCCCAAGGGGGGTTTTGTCTTTCTACAAAGGAATCTTTCTAGACATGAATTTTGGAGTATATAAAAGTATAGCAAAAAAAGTACTGCCCAGAGGCAACCAGTTAAAAGTCTCTTTACTGTGCATCTTTTTGTGGTGTTGGAGGTGGAAACCCTGGCCTGTCATGTGCCATGCAGGTGCTCTACCCTCGGGCTGCATTCTAGACCACTCTGTGCATCTCGGATGTGGTCATTTGAACCCACAAACCAGCCCTGAATGCTCATCACCTCACACCTGTATGGGCAGGGGCCATGGGGCCACCACCTTCCATCAGAAGACAGGATAAGCATCTTGCCCAGAACCAAGACTCCTCAGGATTAGGGGTCCCAAGGAAGGTGAGGAATCACTTGGCCTGAGTGAAAATGTGTCCTGAGAGTATTGATGAGCCCCATCCTAGGGCAGCCACTGTTACCTAGAATGAACAGTGGCCGCAGGTCTGGTGCCTGGAACACGGATCATGAGTGCCTCAGTTTTGGGGCTGGCATAGCAGGGACTAGTCCTGTTCCACCCCACTTTCCAGACAACGTGTGTCCCCGGCTGAGACGGTCCGCGAGAATCCACTGTATAACAAGAAACTACCTCACCCAAAAGATGGGTATCCCCACCTGCTGCCCTGGTTGGGAGGGGTATTTTGCTCCTTGCCTGATAAGCTTTGTCTCAGAGATTTTTGTGACCCAGTATACCCACCTGGGCTCTGCATGCCAGCTCAAGGGCTTTGTATCCCAGACTTAGAGCTCCCAATGGCTGCCCTAGGGCAGCACCGCTAAAGAAATACAGATTCCATCTTGACTTACCAGAGAACCTCTGAGAGGCTGCTTTAATGAGTGGAAAGGGAAGAATTCAGGTATCTAGGAGAGTGGAAAGATCCAGAAAGGATCCACTAGACCCCTCCAAACACAGCTTTATGGGGTGGAGATTTTAGGCCTGGTGATTGTGGCAAACTCTGACCCCCTTCTCACAGGGCCACCACTTTCCACAGCTTCCAGTTCCCTAGATCATTTCAGTTTGTCCCTTCAGTAGGAGTCAGAGACAGATAATAGGTATTGACATACAGCCACTGTATTCCATCAGGTGGTGGCTGAAGCCATAGGTTGCTGGTATTCATGACCCCATTAACCATAGCTCTGACCCAAACAGGGTAGGACTTGTATACAGGAGGCCAGGTAGAGTGCAGGAGGACAGGATGCCACCCTGAGCATTCAGTGTGGAGGGCATGAGGATGGCCAGATGCATGCGGGGAGGTGGCTAATTGTCCAGCCTCTGAAAGCCAGGAAGGGCTGGTCCCCATCCCTAAGAGGTGCCTGAGACTATTACCATGTGAGAAAGGGGGCAGCAGAGACTGTGGACTTGGAAGCTGAGTCTTGTGAGGAGACAGAAGGGCAGAGACAGCATCCACCAGGCAGGAAAGCAGATGTGCTCTTCAGGGAGACTAGCACTGGCTCTCACTGATGCTCGTGGGAGCCAGGATGAGTGCTGAGCTCATCAGATGAGCCAACACTTGGGACAAGCTGGGGCTATTCCCACCTTTGCAAAATGGTATCTTAGGAAGAAGCCCCATCTGCCAGGCATCCTCTCTGAGGTGGAGGAGGAAGGTCTGCTGGATCTCAGGCCTGGGAGTGCAGGGAGAACGTGGAGGTGGCTACGAGGAGTGCTGAGCCCTGGCATGGGCAGGGGGGAGAGGAATATCAAAAATGGTCATTGTCCACAACAGAGCCAGGACAAGGCTCACTCTCCCCAGGGCCCGTTTCCTGTCTACACTGATGTAGCAGGTCGGCGTCAAGGCAGATTTGCTGTGCCTGTCTCCTGCCAGAAGCAGACATGGGATGGAGCATTTACCTATAGGCCTCAGAGGATGGGGGCCATTGTTCCTGTGTCTTCCGTGGCTTTGGTGACTCGGGGGTGTTTCCTCTGGCACCATCCTACCTTTTCAGAGCCTCCTTCAGACTGCAGATAAACTGGAGCCATGTGAAGGCTCCCATCACTGAAGGGGGAGTTGGGTGAACACCCTAGGCTGGCTCAGTTGGTTCCTAGGGACTCTGACTAGCACTCATTGGGTGTGTGGTCCCAGTCCTGGCATGTCTTGCTCCCTGATGTGGCTCAGCTGGTCCCAGAGAAAACAATGAGGGCCAAAGGCCACCCAGATGCATCCTGGGCAGGAACAAAGAGCTGAGGGCGTGGGGTGGGGTGGGGGCGGGTAGTCTGAGAACTGATTTCTGGAGCAGAAGAGGGCCCAGCTGGCCCCACCATCTTGGCTGTGTAGTGGGGGCCTGGGCGGAAGGGTGGGCAGGCAACCACAACCTTCAAAGCCTGCCTGGGACTGAACAGGGAAACCAAGGCCCAGAGCTAGAAGCTGGGGGCTTCCAAGGAAGTGTCCACCAGGAGTCAGTGGCCAAGCTCAGAACAAGCCTGTCACCTTTGCCATCTTACACTCTAAGGCAGCCTTGCCCCCAAGGAAAGCTCCTACACTGCCAAGTGGGCAGCCATACCAAGCCCAAGGATGTCTAGGGGACAGGCAGCAGGGGATCCCCCAGGAGCAGACACAGGAATCAGCAGAGAAGGCAGGTAAACAGCCCTCCTTTATGCCACCCCATCACTGAACCTCAAGGACCACAGTGTGCCCTGTCTGTGGGCAACAGCATCCAGGATAGATGACAAGGACCACTAGAACAGCACCTTCCTCTAACAGGAGACCTGGCCTGGCCCCTCACAGCCTCTGTAGCATTGGCTCCTTATGGCAGTTCTGGGGTCTTGGCACTCACCCTGGAACTGGAACCAAGCCAGGGCCCTACCTGTCTACCTGCCCTCAGAACACAGCTCCCCAAACCCTGGGCACCAAGACCAAGAGATGGTGTCACTGCCTACCAGGATCCAGTGGCAGAATACAAGGCCTCTGACTCTGTAACCCTGAGGACCAGTGTCAAGAAGGCCCTTCCTCCTGAGTGAGGTAATACCATAGGGCACAAGGCCAAGCCATGTGTGTGAAGGACCAAGGGATGGTGCTGGGCCCCAGAGAAGGAGGAGCAATCGTTGGGGTCGACGACCGGGGACTATGGAGGAAGGCGCTGCTCCCTCCCATACTGGCTATTTCTGACTCATGAGCTCCCATAGCCCCCTCCAAGTGATTCTAGAGACAGGGTATTCTTCAAGTGTTAAGAACTTTGGGTCCAATACAAATGGGCTAGGAGGAAAGTGTTGTTGCCATTACAATTGTTACACCTCTCATCATGAGACCCAGAAACAAGGATGGGGAGCTAAGTGTCTAGGAGGAGGGCCCCCCTTGTCAGGCAGCTCCCTCACTTGTACCCTGTGGTATGGTACAGAGCTAGCTCAGCACCACGAGGTAGCAAGGCAGAAATGAATGGGTCCCTAGAAAACTTGCAGGAATGCTCCATTCTGGGGTGGCCCCTCCCACTGATCTGAGGTCCATCTCCCGTCCTGGTGATGGTAGTAAAGGAGAGGGGGTCCTTCACTGAAGAAACCATGGACCCTGGGAAGAAGGAGGCAGCAAAAACCAGGACTGGGGAATGAGGAGTAGGGGAGGTTGCATGGCCAGGTCTGAGGTCAGAAAGATATCAGGGATAGGGGCAGGGACCAGCAGTATTCCAGGGTTTCATACAGGCCCTTGGGGTGCTCACGTTTGACTTTGGGTAACAGGCACCTACTCAACCCAGCCCACCGTCCTCTGCTGGGAGATCTCAAGGGCCCCCTGAATGTAAGAGAACACAAGGATTAGGGGTTGAGCTGACCACAGTGGAACAGGAGGCCAGGTTTTGGCCCTAGGAATGAGCCATGGAAGTTGCTAAGTGATTCGAGTTGAGTCCTAGCAAAGTGAGAACCAACATCTTGGGCTGCTGGTCCTCCCGATGTGCTGGTCAGGTACCTGCACATCCACCTCCCTGAGGAGAGGAAGCAGGGAGCTGCTTTGGCAGAGTCCATTCCTCCACCCTGGCCTCAGCCCTGAGGTCTAACCTGGCCCTGAGCAAACCTACCGGTCCTAGCAGGGTGTTCCCAAAATCCCTTGACTACAGATGGTCTGGCTATCTGAGGGCCTTGTCCTGCTGTAAGCAGAACTGGGGTTAGTCCATATTTATCCAGATCCAAAAGTCAAAGGCAGATCCGCTTGGATGGCTTACTTGAGGCTGGCTATGAGGTCGTTCCACTTACTACGCTCCAGAACAAAGGCAGGGAGTTCCCAGCTGAGTTGGTGGTGCTGCTGCGACTCTTCTTCCTCTGAGAAGGGGAGGGAGGCGGGGTCATGACCCCAACAAGCACTGGCAGCTGTAACACCTAGAGAGACCCGGGCCCAGAGTCTAGGCTGCGGAGACGGAGTGACACAGAGGTACCAAAGCCCTCTAGATCTGATGATAAGGGACAGCACAGCCCAGGGAGGCAGCCCTGAGAGCCGCTAGGAGGTCGGCGACGGCAGGGTGGGGCCCGGAGGGCTTCATGCGCGGGGTGAGACTCTGGGAGACTCTGGGGGGTGGGGGGCGCTGCCGGAGGAAGCTGAGACGGATGGAGCCCACGACAGTCACACTGTGTTGGGGGTGGGGCACGTGAGGCGGCCCGGGCCTG